ATCTTAGATACTCAAGGGGCTGAGACCTGAGGATTGAGGTTTCCAGCTAGACCTGGAGATTATTCTCTCTAATTAACTACTCTCAAATGAAAATGGAAATGTGTTTTTGGCTCAAGTGGTAGAGCATTAGCTTGAGCAAATAAGCACAGGGACAGAACTCAGGCCCTGAGATTGAATCCCAGGACCAATACAAGTGAATAAGTAAATACAATGATTTGGTGGGTTTTTTTTAGTTGGAAAAAAAAAAAACAACGAAAATCTTCCTTGCTTTTGTCTCACATTTCTGCATCTGCAATATAAGATTATGCACAGCCTTTGTTACTGGTTTACTTATAATGCCGACTATGGGTAGTAGTAGCCCTCAATATTAATCATGAAAATAGTCAGCAGTGGAACTGTGGATTAAGTATTAGAGCACTAGCCTTGAGCATAAACACTCAGGGATAGCACCCAGGGATTGCCACAGGACACACACACAAAAATATAAAGAAGTAAAGGAGGACAGAAGAAAGAAAAGAAGTAAAAAGTAAAAAGAAATTTAGGAAGGAAATGAATGCAAAAACGTAAGAATTTATTGACAAGAAGGAGAGATTGTGATGGGAAAATGAAAGCACAAATGATAGCAATTTACTGGATGAAGGAAAAAGGCAAGAGAAGAAGTAAAAGCCTAGGTAAATACTGAAGACATTTTCACTGTGTATTTTACCTGTGATGGTAGATGGCTAAATAATTACCTGAAATGCTCCACTTAGCAAATTTAAACTATGTGAATTGCCCCATATAGAAAAATGTTGTTTTTAATAGCGAAGCAATATGGTTTGAAAAACTGGTCTTAAATTGGCGCTTATATAGGTGGCAGGAAGAGACAAAACCCAAGGAACAGTCAATATAAAAACAGAATATGGAATGGTATTTTTGAAAATGGAAGGAGGACTGAACTAAACAATGTAGGTTGCCAAAAAGCAGGAAAGAATTAATATCTTGGTCTACTTTTGTCTGGCTGTAAGGACAAATCAACACTGGTAAACAAACAATTAATGTCTCACAGGTCTGAGTACAGAAAATCCAAGATAATTTGGCTGGCATGTGGCATTTCCTTCTTCACTGAAACTATATGTGTTCAAGTAAAAGAGCAAATGGGGACAAACTTCATTTGTTCCTGTGAGAAGAGGTGAAAACTATGAAGAGTGATAACCCTGTTCATGCAAGACTTTTCCCTTCTTGTTTCTGCATATTTATTTTATTTATTTATTTGGTCGGTCGTGGGGCTTGAACTCTGGGCCTGGGCGCTGTCCCTCAGCTCTTCAGCTCAAGGCGAGCGCTCTACCACTTGAGCTACAGCGCCACTTCCGGATTTCTGGTGGTTTTATTGGAGATAGGAGTCTCACAGTCTCTCCTGCCCAGGCTGGCTTTGAACCGCGATCCTCAGATCTCAGTTTCCTGAGTAGCTAGGATTACAGGCGTGAGCCACCAGCGCCCGGCTTGCATATTTATTTTTAATGTTCCCTGTATCTCAGGTCCTCAGTCACTCCAATAAAACCAATTGATCTGGTTAGGTGTCAGGGGAATATTATTTATCCATAACTGTTACAAACCATCCTGTGTCATCTTTATTGTTCAGCTGCTCATTGTATGAGGACTTACCTTACTTGCCCCACCTAGTCCCTGACTACATATTTGAACCTGAACAAAGGACAGGCTCGATTTCTAATTGTCCCATAGGGAGAATGGCCTGATCAGATTTGGCTGGCAAATAAACTATATCCTGTATGTGACTGTGTCTTCCATCCTCTTTTGAGCTGCCTGCTTAAATATATGGTAGTTGTTACTGTTCCCTTTATTGCTTTTGACCTGAAGACCATAAGTCAGAAACATATCAGGTGAATTGTGAAATTGGGTAAAATTTTAATTTAAAATGTGCTATCTGGTGTTTACTAGAATCCAGGACTTTTCACAATTTGATGGGATTTCATTTTGTTGTTTTCCCAAAAAGCTACTGTTTTGTGTTTCATAGTGCTTCCCGGCCATGGAAAACAAAGTTGTCTATTATTTACCTGAGAATAAAAGCAAAATACTAACAGCAAGACGTGGGAACTGACTGAACTCTTAGTGTCCTTTCAAAATAAGCAGCATGGTCAATTACATACTAGTATTGGTCCTGTTTGATGCATTTTTGTTTTTTCCCCATACTTTCCTTTTTTTTTTGTTTCTTCCTAAGTTTTTCTACTGCCAAAGACACATGCCATCATTTTTCTCTTACATTTCTTAAAAAAAAAATTGTCATTGATCATGATGGGTGGTGGTGTCTTCAGTGTTTGTCCAATAGTTTAGTGTTTTTGCCAAGTGCTGGCTGAGGACAGCAATCCTCTGACCTTTGCCTCCAGGTAGCTGTGATCACCCCATGTTCGACAGTATATTTAATGAGAAGGAAAATGTGCAGCCTTAGTAAATTTTGCTAAGTCCTACCGGAATTATTCTGACCACCACCTCCCAAGTAGCCAGGGAAACAAGGGCAATCATGCCAGCCCCAACCACAGACACTATTTCCTGCATGAAATCTCACTAGGTTTTTAGTCATGCATCACTTTTGCCCAAAAGTTGTCAGCTTTCCAACAACCTTGTCATGTCAACAATACTTACAGGAGAGCACATGGGTGCCGCACGAAGTCCCTTCATTTCTACCAGCCCCGCCTTTACATACCGAGTCATGTGAGGCATGTTGACGTCATAAGTGATTCAGGCGTGGAAATGGTACTTCCGCTCCTGCTTCAGGCTTCCTGTGTAAACGGAAGTTGAGGCCGCCATCTTGTCGCAGGCGGAGCCTCAGGGTGAGGGCGCAGGAGGTATACTCTGAGGAAAGGACGACCACAGCCGCAAGTCGGCAGCGAAGGGGTACGCTTAGGCACAGCTATAGGTGGGGTGGCGCAGTGTGCGGGGAGAAAATTAGGGAGAGGGTGGCAGCCAAGCTGGGTGTGAGCTACCTCAGCGCGGCGACCTCTGTAACCAAGGGCCTTTCTCTGTGCGCACACCATAGTGAGAGGCTATGGGAGGCGGTCGAGGGAGGGGCCTGAGTCTGCACCTAGTTCACTGTGGGGGTTCCTATGCTGCTTGGGCAGAAGGGAGGGAAAGGGAGGTGGACCACAATCCGGACGTGGGTTTCACATCACCAACCTGTAGTTGAAGCCCAAGGGTCGTGGTTTCCTTGCTTAAAGGCCATGCTAGGAATCTTGCAACAGCCACGTGCATTCCTGGCTCAGGGTCAGCTTGTATTGCCAGGCACAACATGGACACTTGGAACCTCCACTCACTTTTGGACTTATGTACAACTCTCACTAGTGGTTAGTAGGTTTTCATGAGCATCGGATTAGCCACCACAAATATGGGATCCTCATTTTGTGCCTTTAAAGATACTTCTGCGAATAGAGGAAGGTGGCGCAATGCCGACGTTAATTGAAATATCCCAGATCGCACCAGTAACTTTTTCAATTGAGGCGTTTTAAAGTGTCCTTACATGGATGCATACAGTTAGCGAATTAAGAGCACAAATGAGCACCCTCTCCTCTCCCCCCTCCTGCCCCCCCCAGTACTTGATTCCTCTTTCCCAGCCTGTCAGGTACCTACGGGAGCCTGATCTACTTAGCCTCATTTGCCTTTTGGTAAAAACAACAAACTCTTTTTGACTGTTTAGCTCTGATATTACTCCCTCCCCTGCCTTTCTAACCAGTGTATAGAACTAAAGAAGAAAAGGACTGTGTGGACATGGACCATCTTTGTTAGTGGCCTCTTCACTCAGAAAATGCTCTTAAGCATTTTCTGGCCTTTAATGGGTCCATGTTTTCTATCCAGATGACTCCCTGGAAATATGCTTTTTCAAACTTTCTACTCCTCAGAGGAGTAATTTCAGTAGGAAATAGAAAAGCCTTGATACCAGAAAGTTGTTCTGCCTCTCCAATTCCAGCTCTTAGAAGGCCATCTTGATTTTCTAGGGACAAACACTGAGCATTACTCTAATACTCATGGTCCTGAGATAACCCTTAAAGTCTCCCTGTGGCCCAAACATCTCTAACAACCAGACATGAAGCAGAAGTTGTTTGAGCATGTAATTACTGCTTCTTCCTCCAGTTCCCAAGATTTCATTCCCTAGCGTACCAGTTCTGGTCCCAACCCACCTTAATAGGTTCACTTTTGAAACTTTTATCTCACCTGTCTCTACTTTTATTTACTTTTTTAATTTAATTTAATTTTTTTTGTGAACATACTGTACAGAGGGGTTACAATTACATGGGCAGGATAATGTGTACATTTCTTAGAAAGCATTGCGGCCTCCTCCTTTGTTTACCCTTCACATCCCTTCCCAGCCTCCCCCCCCATCCTCCCCCTCCCCCACCAATGTTGTAAAGCTCATTTTCTACTTGACAACTTGTACTTCTCATTGTTGCAACAGGTCCACCTGTATCCTTAAATGACTTGTTTTTCCCCATCTCCTCCACAAGTTATACTGACATCAAATATAGTGAAAGCAAGGGTTATACTATGGGGGCGGGACATACAAAGCAACAAAGAGATAATCTCATAAATGTGTTAGAAACAAATGCATGAAAGAAAATACATTAAAATACATATCTAAGGGTTCATTTTCCTAACATCACATTATCTGACCTTTTCTGCTTGACTCATACATATAGTGAAGTAAGCCAGGCCCAAAGAAATATAGGTCCCATGGTTTCCCTTATTTGCAATACCTGTCTCTACTTTTAATGGCAGCTTTTACAAGAGGTTCTGTATGAGTGGTTAGAGACATAAAATCCCTTTTAAGCATCTAGCCAATATTTACTTACTGAACTTTGGGGTCTGGATTGTCCAGACTTACATCCTCTTCTACTTTTGTAAGGAAACTTTTTTCCTAGCTTTAACCATTGTCATCACCTTTCCCAGAATTTCTTCCAACAGAAAGGGTCTACTCATGTGTGTTTCAATTCTGATGTTCCTTTACCCTACAGATGTCCAGCAAACTGCTTTGTAAGAAACGTCGACTGTCTGGAGCAGATTCCAAGGACTGTTCTACTACAAACTCTCCAATGTTTGGATTTCCCTCTGGAACAAACAAAGTGAGTGTCTTATACTTGAATTCTGGCATGTGGGATGTTCAAGGGGAAGGTGCTGATGTAACCTTGTCTGTATCTTTCTAAACCCCTGAAACTGCTTCTCTGTATCCCTAGGCAATGCCAAAAGCTGGTGAAACAGACATAGATGAAGGTCTTTACTCTAGGCAGCTGTAAGTGTTGCCTATGATTGGAATGAATGGTGGGAGGAGACATAGGGTAAATCCTGACCTAGAGATGCTGTTTTGCCAGGTATGTCCTGGGTCATGAGGCAATGAAGCATCTCCAGACATCCAGTGTACTGATATCTGGCCTGCGGGGCCTTGGTGTGGAAATTGCCAAGAATATCATCCTTGCAGGGGTCAAGGCTGTCACCCTGCATGACCAAGGCACTGCCCAGTGGATTGACCTGTCCTCACAGGTATTTTCTGACTCCCTTCCCCTTGCCAAAGTTTCAGCCTTTCTTGAGAGCAGTTTCATCTCAGTTCTGGCTTTGGCTACCTTTAGTTCTACCTTCGGGAAGAAGACATTGGCAAAAACCGAGCTGAAGTATCTCAGCCCCATCTTGCTGAACTGAACAGCTATGTGCCTGTCAGCGTCTATACTGGGCCCCTGGTGGAAGACTTCCTTAGTGGTTTCCAGGTACTAAATAGCATCACCCTGATTAAAGTTTGATAAATCTTTCTTGCATTCTCTAATTTTCCCATTCTTATCCAATATCTCAGATTTGGTTTTCTCTGTTTCTCTCCAGCTCTTCCTGAATTGTATGTCTCCCCTTGCTATTCAATAGGCTCCCTACTTCTTAAGCTATATCCCATCCCATTATGTCAGACTTGCGAAGATTTGTCACACTAGCAGTCCTGTGCATCTTGGTTAGGACACATAGGATGAAATTCAACTTTGGATTATTTTTTCTTGGGATTTTCAGGAGCTGAATGTATGTGTCCACATGTTGTAGTGTTGTGTAGTACTGGTTGTAGTATTGTGAAATGAGCCCTGGAGCAAAACTGCCTTGATGTGTAGCCTTGAGTTTTTGTAACTTTATGGGTATGGAAAAGCCACTTAAATTCTTCTGCCTGAATTTCCTGTTAAAAACAGGAAAAATAAAGTATCTACTTAGTAGAGCTTTTGTGAGGGTTGAACGAGGGTATCTTATAAACGTTTATTCAATAAATGGAGTGCACAGAGGAGTTGTGTGTGCTTGTCTTCTGCCCTGTGATGTGTGAGAGGACTAATCCTCCAAAGCTTCTAAAATAGACATATAATCTCCCACTCTGTCTCCCACTCTGGAGACAGAAATTTCACAACTCATGCCTGCAGTTAGTTTTTGAGAACTGATACACATCATGTGTATTAGGAGGAAACCCAGGTTTTTAGAACTTTAATCTCTTTTAGAACAATAGGGTGTAGGTGGGTAGAAGTTCATGTTTGTCCAATAGTTCATTTGTTTTGTGGAACATTGCCCAAGTGTCAGGTCCTCAGCCTGTATCTTTTGTCTTTACAGGTAGTGGTTCTCACAGACACTCCTCTAGAGTATCAGCTGCAGGTGGGTGAGATTTGCCATAACCATAGGATCAAGCTGGTGGTTGCAGACACCCGGGGCCTGTTTGGGTTAGTGTCTGTTCTTCTTCCTTTTAATCCCCTGCCTCCCCCTCAGGCCAAAAGGCTCCCACTCCTTTCTTGTTATATTTTGCCTGCCAGATTTTCTGCTTGTTCATTTCCATGTGGCCCTGGAGCCATCTGATTCTCACCAGTAATATCCTAAGTTTTTTTTTTTGCCAAGCACACTGCACCTTGATGGACCAGTGAGTGCCTTGTGCAGGATCTCATGCTCCAATCACATTCCTTACCTCTGCAGGCAACTCTTTTGTGATTTTGGTGAGGAAATGATACTTGTAGATTCCACTGGAGAGCAACCACTCAGTGCAATGGTTTCTATGGTTACCAAGGTAAGGAGGCCAGTCCCGAGAGTTGTTCTTTTCTTTTTGGTGGTCATGGGCCTGCACTCTGGGCGTGGGCACTGTCCCTCAGCTCTTCAGCTCAAAGCTAGTGCTCTACCATTTGAGCTATAGCACCACTTCTGGCTTTTTCTGCTTTCTGTGGTGCCTCATGCAGGCAAGGCAAGCACTCTACCACTGAGCCAACTTCCCAGACCCCGGGAGTTGTTCTTGTAGACAGGTACATGACAGTTATTCTTCTGCAAGCACCCTGAAATTGCTGCCTCTAAATGTTACTTCTTTTCCAACTAGGATAACCCTGGAGTTGTCACCTGCCTAGATGAATCTCGGCATGGATTTGAGAGTGGTGACTTTGTATCATTCACAGAAGTCCAGGGAATGAGTGAACTCAATGGCCTCCATCCCACTGAGATCACAGTGCTGGGTATGCCAAAACTGTAGTGGTGAGAATTGGTTGGCCAGAACAAGGGAAACCTTGTCCTTGGTTTTGGGCACTCCCAGAGGATAAGGAGAAATGTGTGTTTCTGGAATCTGAGGTAGGACATAGAGATGGATCATGGGAAATGACCAAGGAAAAAAATAAAAAGCTCACGTAGAATTTATGGCCACTCCTGTTTTCATTTTCTATTTTTTGTGTTTTTGTTTTAATTTTAATAGCTATATTCTTTGAATATTTGCTTCAAAGTCATTGAAATAGTCTACTCAGTGTTCTTGTCATATTCACTTGTCATTTGCATTTTTTAAGTGAGGCTGATACATATCTAGTATTGCACAAGTGTTTCATGGAAGCAGACTGAGCAAACAAAATCTGAGTATTATGAAAACACCGTACAACAGAGTACCATTATTTACTTGTTAATTTGGTGCCATATATTTGTATTTTAAACTTCTAAGCTTCTCAAAACAAGTAATTTCACCCATCCTTCAATTTCATTATTTGCTGTTTGTTTACCTTTACATCGGAAAAAATGTTCCTTTTAACATTGTCCTATTTTTGGCTTATTGATAATTCTTTTAGATTTAATTGTATGAGACTTATTTTCTTTCTTTCTCTCCTCTTTTCTTTTTTCTTTATCATTTGTAGTCATCCTGGAGTTTTTAAAATTTAATTTAATTTAATTTTTTCATCCTTTGTTTGATGTGAGCTACCAGTTCATGATTCATTTCCCTCCAGGCTTGTTATACCTGTTTCTAGAGGAACTTTATTGTGGGAATAGAATTCCAGATTGACAATGTATTCCTTCATTGCTTTTGTTTTCTTTCTTATTTTTGTTCTTCTGTAGTGTTGATGGTTACTTTTTGTATCCCTTCTTCCAGGTGTTGTGATTTTGGTGTTCTCTGTATGTTTCCTTTTTTTCATTTGTTTTCATTTAGGCTCAGTTTAATTATCTGTGTATTTACATTGTTATCCAGTTTGGATATATTTTTCTTTTGTCAGGATATGGGACATGATTTGTTTTCAAAACATAATTTCTCTGAGATTTCGATCACTTTTCATTTTTTCCTTTTTGTTTATGTTTTGGATAATTTGTTTTACTTTGTCAAAATTAATATTGTAATGTTTTCAATGTTCTAATCCCATTCAGTATGTGAAATTTAGTGGAGAAGACTGAAAATAGGTATTACAAAAATATTCCATTTCAAGACATTATAGAAAATCATGGGCATGTTAATGTAGGAACTAGACATATTCATCTATTACCAGATACAAGGAATGTAATAAGTCAAATGCAAAGAATTTTAGGAGAATGTTTGAAGCCAAAGAAAGCTTTTTATAGACGACAGTTTTCTCCAAATCTCAACACAAATAAGAGTAGAAGATTATTGTGAATTGGCTGGTGCTGGATTAGTTTTTTTCTTTACTATTTTTGAGCTCTATTTTTCTTGGTGTAGTAATGGAGTTTTGAATTTCACACTTGGCTAGGCTCACCTACCCAGCCATGCCTCAAGCTCTTTTGTGGGCTGGCTCTCTCTGAGCTACGGTCTTGCTTCGTTCTCTGTTTCCTTTCCTCAGTTTTGTTTTCTTGTGCTGAATCCTATAAACTCTGATCTCTGTTAGCCTTTGAACTCTTGCTTCTGTCTCAACCCAAGGGAGTTCACTTGGCTTTCCCCTCCTTCCTGCTTTCCGTTCATCAAGAGTAATATTGGGAATTCATCCTTTTTTTTCCATCTCAGGATCCAGTTACTTGGGCTTATGTTACTATGCTGAGATGAGGTTTTCTTTTGTTTGTTTGTTTTTGGGGGGGTTGGTAAGGTTGAAAGATAACTGATGGCCAAAAGTGAAAATTTCTGATCCTTTTGTTTGAAATAAGGAGGTGCCTGAAAACCAATGAGGTTTTATTGTAGTTGGCCTTTTCCAATAAATATTGTGTCTGGGTTTGATCTAAGCCTTGGGAATAGAGGGGCTATGCTGAGGACCAAGTTAGGTGAGGCTAAGAACTAAAGAGAATCAAGATCCTGGGATTTTAAGTTGAACATCAGATTTTGGGTAAGGAGACATATCTTTAGAATCTGACCTGAGGGGAAACAGAGATAAAATCTGAGATAGGGGCTAGAAAATAGAGTTTCTACAAGTCCAGGTTTTGAGTTGTATTTGGACAGTTTGAAATACAGAAGAGATGCTGCTGTCATTTCTGAAGTGTGGGTAGCTGGGCCATGGAGGCTTAATGAAAAGCACCTTTGGGTTTGAGCTAGTCTTTTGGGCATGTGTTCTGTGGGTGACAAAAATCACAATGGAGTGGAAAGAAACATGAACCCAGAAAGTAGCCTCTCTAGCACTTAATTCACAGTGTGTGGGGGTTTGGGCCTAGATTCAGGGCAGAAGGCAAAGTAATTACTGGTTTCTTTCCTTAATTTTGTTTTGATTCGGTATCTGACCTTGTTACCAGTCTAGCATTTGAACTATGACCCTAGTCTTTTAGTCTCTTTCTGTCTTTTTGGTTGGGCATTTGGTTTGATATTTTAGCACCCCATTGAATAGGCCAGCTAGCCTTGAATTAATTATACCCTTGCCTCAGCCTGCTGAGTGCTAGCACTGGTATTATACAGGCATATTTTCAGAAGGGAGATTGTTTGCGCATTCAGAGGTTGGCCAAAAAAATGCACTGTTACGTAGTTTAAAATGGCTTGTTTAATTCTTGTCTTGATTTTGACACTGATTTTACAAGGGCAGAGATGCTACATGGTCTGACCAGTTTCTGTCCAATTTATGTTACTCTCCAGGTCCTTACACCTTTAGTATATGTGATACCTCTAACTTCTCTGACTATATTCGTGGAGGCATTGTCAGTCAAGTCAAAGTATCTCAGAAGATTGGTTTTGTGAGTATTGGAAGGGAGGGTTAGAAGGCAAGCTGGTATTTTACGCATTTCTAGTTTGTTTTGTTTATGCAATGGTCTTGGTATCTCACTTTCCACAGAAGTCCTTAGGAGCCTCTTTGTCAGAACCAGACTTTGTAATAACAGACTTTGCTAAATATTCTCGCCCTGCTCAGCTGCATGTTGGCTTCCAGGCTCTTCATCAGTTCTGTGCTCAGCATAGCAGGGCACCTAGGCCCCACAATGAGGTAAGTGGGTGGGTGAGTGAGCCAGCCAGGGTTCTTGGCTTAAAGGTTTATCATGCCTGTGCTTCTCTCTATATCCTCCCTCCTCTTGCTGTCATGGTAATGCTGGGTTCTCTCTTGGTCATTCTGGCCTACCAGGAAGATGCAGTAGAACTGGTAGCCTTAGCACAAGCTGTGAATGCTCAAGCTCTACCTGCAGTTCAGCAGGAAAATCTGGATGAAGATCTCATCCAGAAGTTGTCCTATGTAGCTGCTGGGGATTTGGCACCAATGAACGCCTTCATTGGAGGCCTGGCTGCTCAGGAAGTCATGAAGGTCAGTGCGGGTGGGGAAGGGCATGGCTTTATGGTATGCATGAGCCCCACTGACTCCATCACTTGTGGTCTGCCTGTATTTGTCCTTCCTTCCATAGGCCTGTTCTGGAAAGTTCATGCCCATCAGGCAGTGGCTGTATTTTGATGCCCTTGAATGTCTCCCTGAGGACAAAGTAGCCTTTATGGAAGACAGGTGTCTGCCGGTAAGTTAGTGAGAAGTACTATAATTGGAGGAAATATCTCTGGGGAAGATTCTAACTAACTTGCCTGTTTTCACATGAACCAGCACCAGAACCGTTATGATGGACAAGTGGCTGTTTTTGGATCAGACCTGCAAGAGAAGCTTGGCAAGCAGAAATATTTCCTGGTGAATGATACTGATGGGCCCTCATTTCCTTCATGTTCTGATCCCTGATCATCCATTCTTTGTGGGCTTTGGTTCTGATTCTTGGGGTATCATTATAGAATGTCTGATCATGTGTTATTTTTCTATACATTGAGAAAAAGCTTCACACAACTTTTAATTTCCCCTATCTGATTCCTCTTCTCTTGGGTAACCATAGGCTTTTATGATCCTGGGACCAACAAATGTGGCACTCCATCCTCTTATCTTCTGGGGACATGTGCAGTGCAAGAGAAGAGTGGTCAGAGACCTTATGTTTCATTTAGTCATTCTAACTAGACCTTTGCTTTACTCCTTTCAGGTGGGTGCAGGCGCTCTTGGCTGTGAACTGCTCAAGAACTTTGCCATGATTGGGCTAGGTTGTGGGGAAGATGGCCAAATCACAGTAACAGACATGGACACCATTGAGAAGTCTAATCTGAATCGACAGTTTCTCTTCCGTCCCTGGGATGTTGCAGTAAGTGCCAGTATGATGGAATAAAAATTCAAAAGGTTATTCTTTTGCAGATTTCTCCTATTTGTTTTCCACAGCCTTTCAGTCTTAGGTATTTCTTTAATGGTTTTGTATGTTCTTGTCAGTTTGTATGCTTTTGTCAGTTTTTACAACTGTTTTCCTCTCTGTTTTCTTGCATTCTTAGCCTCTGCAGATGTAGTAGGGAGAAAGACCATAGCCACAGTATCTAAGGAATTGTTAAGTGTCAAAGGAAGTATTACTTTTACCTGCCCTTGATTTGTCTTTATTCCACATTCTAGGCTGTAGACATTTAGAATAGGTAACAGAGCCAAAAAGAAGTTTCTTGAAAGGCTTTCTTTTCACAGGAAGATTGCATAGTAATTGAGAAGTTCTCAAAGTGACTGTATCTTGAGTCTCCTTGTGGTTGTTAGCTCTCCATGAGTCCACATGATAGTGATGCCATGTGGGTTGGCCAATACAGTGGCTCATGCATGTCATTCCAGCTAGTGGGATGCAGAGATTGGATCTTGGTTTGAGGCCAGCTCTGGGAAGAAGTTAGAGTGTGAACTTCAGAATAAACCTAACCTAGTGGGGACTTAAAAGTTTGAGTTTACAGGGATAGTAGCATGATGGTCCAGGCCTGGACTCAGGCCCTTTTGTGAAATATAACTAAACGAAGAAAGTGCGTTGTAGTAAACGTGCTTGTGCAGGTACCCCAGTACCCCCAAGACACAACAGCAGAAAGTACTTTCTCACTCAAATTCCTTTCATCCAATTGGAGGAAAAGTTGGCCCTACTTTAAGAAAGCCTCCTGTAATTCAGTGAAATGTTATTTTCAAAATGAATATGAGATAATTTGTATTAGCAAAATTTAGTTTAACAACACAGTTCCATAGTGTTCTTGCTTACTCGAATGCAATGAATTTTCTCCAGACTGATTTCCTCATCACCCTCCCTTGTCTTCTCAACCCCTCCTAAAATGTTTCAACAGATTTTAGTGTTCTAATATTTTTTGTTGGTCATGTGGCCTGAATTCTGGGCCTGCGCCCTGTCTCTCAGCTCTTCTCAAGGCTAGCGCTCTACTATTTGCCACAGGAACACTTCCAGCTTTTGTTTGCTTATGTGGTGCTGAGATAGCAAACACAGGGCCGCATGCATAAAGGCAGGAACTTTACCACTGAGGCACCTTCTCAATCATCAGTGTTTTATTTTTATAAGTACACATGAACTTCTTTGATCCATTCATCCTTATTTATCAAGTCCATTAATCCTCCTACCTTCCAGTGGTATATAACTACAACAAAAGAAAGTTTGAGGTTTGTTCCCCCTTTTTAAGTGTATTCATTGTTGTACCAAGGTTCTCACCATCCTATTTCCATGATTTTTTGTTTTATTTTATTTTTTGTCGGTTGTGGTGCTTGAATTCTAGAGCTATGCACTGTTGCTCAGCTCTTCAGCTCAAGGCTTATGCTCTACCACTTGAGCCATAGCACCACTTCCAGTTTTCTGGTGGTTAATTGGAAATGAGGCTCTCAGATATTCCTGCCCAGCTGGCTTTGAACCGTGACCCTCAGATCTCAGCCTCCTGATTAGCTAGGATTACAGGCATGAGCCATGGCATATGGCCCATATGTTACTTTTTACCAGAATAATTCTCTTCCTTGCTTTCTCATTCCCTGCATACCCATCCCTGTTGTCAGCAGCCTCTTTCATTAAGATTTTTGTACCATGTCCATAATAAGTTGCATTTTGAAATTGACTCACCTCCACACTTCTTTATCCCTTCCAGTTCCCTGCTTATTTTTCTTTTCCCATTAAACAGTCCCTGTGTTAGAACCACCTTGTCTTTTGTACAGGGGTATGTGTTTATGTGTGTGTGTGTGTGTGTGTGTGTGTGTGTCATGGGGCTTGGACCTTATATCTGTGCTCTTCAACTCAAGGCAAGCTCTCTACCACTTGAGCCACAATACCACTTCCGGTTTTCTAGTAGTTTATTAGAGATAAGAGTCTGACGGACTTTCCTGCCCAGGCTGGCTTTGAACCTGATCCTCAGTTCGCAGCTTCCTGAGTAGCTAGGATTACAGACATGAGTCACTGGTGTCTGGCTGTGTTCCTATATATTTTATGTGCAATTTAAAATGATTAATTCTCTTATCTTTAAATATCTTATTTGGGCAAAAACAAGCATTAGAAAGATTTTAACAAAATAAAATTCTGAGCCCAGTACTGATAGTTCATTCTTGTAACCCTAGCTGCACAGGATGCTGAGATCTCAGGATCACAATTCAAAGCCAACCTTTCTTTATGATTCTTCACTACTGCAAAAGAAAAATACAATCACAAGTTATAAAGTCATTGTTAAAGATTCCAATAAGTACAAAAGCTCTGTGAGAAACAGAGTAAATTGGAGGTGCCATAGAGTGTGCTACTGTGCAGTGTGAAAAAGGAAAAGAATACTTGGAAAAACTCATCTGCTCAAAGACCTGAACATAGGAGAATAAGAGAACATCCGAGGAAAGAAATTATCCCAAGAAATTGTGGGATCTAATAGAGATTGTTTTTGATAGGGGGAGGATGACTTGGGTTCTGAACAGATTTTACTTATCCCAAACATTTCCACTTTGATTATCTTTGGGTAAAATATAATCCAACTCTGGGTGTCACTAATTAAAATAGAAATGTTAAATGTTGGTGAGGTGTCTCTAATCTATTGGTTCTTAATTGTGTGAGTTGTTTCTTTTTTCTCTCCCCTCTTCTCACCTTTTTCATAGTTAAAGTCTTGTGACATTGTCATAGGTAGTATCATTTGTTAATCAGGGCCCCTGCTAAACTTGGAACCATCATTCATAAATCCATCCTTAGGTTAAGTATGTAAGTGGTTACATGGGAAATATATGTGTTCCCTTGTTGCCACCCAGAAGCTAAAGTCTGACATGATTGCTGAAGCAGTGTACCAAATTTTGTTGTTGTTGGTCATGTGGCTTGAATTCTGGGCCTGAGTGCTATCCCTCCGCTTTTCAGCTCAAGGCTAGCACTTGAGCCACAGTGCAATTTCTGGTTTTCTGGAATACACCAAATTTTAATCTTCACGTCAGGGTGATAAACCACCAGAACTGTGTAGGTAACTCTGTATTCAGGGTAAACATGTAAGTGGATACATGAGAAATATCTCTGTTCCCTATTGCCACCCAGAAACTAAAGTCTGACACAGCTGCCACAGCAGTACGCCAAATTAATCCCCACATAAGGGTGATGAGTCACCAGAACCGTGTGGGCCCTGATACAGAGCATGTCTATGACGATGACTTTTTCCAGAACTTGGACGGTGTGGCCAATGCTTTGGACAGTGTGGATGCACGTAAGTTTGGTGGTTGGTGGATAAGGATGCAGGGAGCAGAGGTGTGAAAAAGGGTATTGGGGAATGGTTCTCTTCCTGTCTTACCCAATATTCCTCCTGTTTGTATGCCATTCTTTGTCTCTTCCCTGAAGGCTTATACATGGACCGCCGCTGTGTGTACTATCGTAAGCCTCTGTTGGAATCTGGTACTCTGGGGACCAAAGGGAATGTGCAGGTGGTCATTCCCTACCTGACTGAGTCTTACAGCTCTAGCCAGGACCCACCTGAGAAATCTATTCCTCTTTGCACACTGAAAAACTTCCCTAACGCTATCGAGCACACCTTGCAGGTAAGCAATCTTAGGAGTAGAAGTGGTATTGATAGACAGATGCATGATGTCCTATCACCCTTTGTTATTTAAGTGTAGCAAACCAAATTTTATTATCTCAACTTTTTCTGAGATTGCACAAGCAGCATAACCTTTCAGAAATTATTTTTGTGTTTTGTATGGTAAAAATAGTGTACAGAGGGGTTACATGAGTAAGGTAATGATTACATTTCCTATCCAGCAGTGTTACCTTCTCCTGTTTTCCCCCTACCATTGCTTCCCATCCCACCTCCTTAACTCCCATCTTCCCGCCCCCCGCCCCCCCCCTCCCCCCCCCCCCCCGGCAAGTTGTAAAGTTCATTTTCTACATAGTGTTTTATACATCTCATTGTTACAATGGTCAACCTGTATCCTTCTTTCAGCATTTTGTTATTTCCCTTCCCCTCCCAAATTAGAAAAATGTATATACAAGATGCAGGGTATTGACATCAAATACAGTGAAAACCGTGAAACAAAAAAATCACATAGTACGTTTTAGATACATTAAAAACAATAGCAAGAAAGAAAAAAAAAACAAATTATGTCCCTGTCTTGGGGTTACTTTGACTTAACATCATCTCCTTTTTTTTACATTTTTTATTGTAAAATTGCTGTACAGAGGGGTTACAGTTACATGAGCAAGGTAATGAGCATAGTTGCCTTCTCCTTTGTTTTCCCCCTACCATTCCTTCCCTCCCACCTCCTATATGGTCATATTTACATAGCTTTTGACATTTTCTGCTTGTCCTACACATATATTAGTTAATGCAAATAAGGGAAACCATGGGTCCTATGTTTTGTTGGGCCTGGCTTACTTCACTTAATATAATTTTTTCCAAGTCTTTCCATTTTCTAACAAATGGGTCAATGTCATTCTTTCTGATGAAGGCAGAGAAGTCCATTTTATATATATATATATATATACATATATATATCCCATTTTCTTGATCCATTCATCTACTGAGGGGCATCTGGATTGGTTCCATATCTTAGATATCGTAAACCTACTGTATTGTTGGTGGAAGTGTGAACTTGTTCAACCACTTTGGAAAGTAGTATGTAGGTTCCTCAAAAGACTCCACATAGAGCTCCCCTATGACCCACCCAGCAATCCCACTTTTAAGCATTTACCGAAATGATCACAAGCAAGGCTATACTAAAGCTACCAGCATAACTATGTTTATCAGAAATTATTTACTTGATTTTGTGTGTTTGTTTTTGAGTAGTACTGGGATTTGATTTTAGATCTTTTTGCTATTGACAAATTAGCATTTTATCTTCTACTTAAGCCACACCTCTAATCCACCACTTTTTTCCATTTTTTTAATCTTGAAAAAAATAGAATGGTTATATAAAGTTCTTGCATATCTAGACAACCGAGAATGTTTTTAAGTTTTATAAACTTTTGAAAGCTGGGCTCCAGTATCTCATGCTTATAATTCTAGCTACTCAGGAGGCTGAGATCCTAAGCTGCAGTTAAAAGCCATCCCAGGCAGGAAGGTTTGTAAGACTCTTTATTTCCAATTAACCACTAGAAAATCAGAAATGGTGCTGTGGCTCAAGTGGTAGAGTGGTAGCATTGAGCTGAAGAGCTGAGGGACAGTCTACCGGCTCAGAGTTCAAGCCCCATGACTGGCAAAAATATCTTTTTATACTACTTGTATTTGAACTTTGTAGTTATGAGGTATGTGCTGAGCTATGATTCCCAAGTCCATTTTGTCTGCTAATTTTTGAGGCAAGGTCTCAATTTCTTGCCCAGCATAAGCCTGGGCATGAGTTGCATCATTCTATTTTCTACTTTTTGTAGATGTATGGACACAATGTGCTATAACTTCCCAATATTTGTTAAGATGGGATCATAAAAATGTGCTTGTGTTAGCTCTAGATCTTGTTCTCACAAATAGCTAATATATTGTAGTCCCTGCATCACTTTTACTCTTTCTAGAATGTCCTATATATTTAGGCTTTCCTAACTGTTGGGAAAAATGTACTCAGCAGCTGGTTGGTCATCTCAGTTTCTGTCATGTATTAAACATATAACAGTATGTATTTTCTAGCTGGACATAATACATGTAAGAAACTCTATAAGAACCAAATGGTAATTCCATTTTTCTTTCAACCCTTGAATAAAGATTCTGCTTTCAGAAGGTTTTTAGTTCAGGTTTTGAGGCATGTTAGGAGTGTAAGATGGAAGAAATAGAGAGATAAAAATCCAGTCCTATTGATACCTTAATCTTTACAGAATATGTGTGCTGCATTTATCAGTGTCTATCTATTCGCATCTAGATCTCTAGTAAACTCTGGTTTTCTTATTGTCTGCCCAGTATGATGGAATGCTTCAAAGGATGTTTTAAAACAGATTGTGCCTGCTATCAGGGATTACAAATGCCTGAGATTCTCTGTCTCCAAAAGGTGCATGTCATGAGTATTTCTCATATGCAAAGCACTTGGCATGTTCCATGTACTTGATGCTACTGGTGAGATTTAAGTCTAGATGTGATTATTCTTTTCTTCATAGCAGTTCATGAGGCATAAATGTTTCTGTTGTAAATATGTTACTTAAAAAAAATACCAAGACCTGGGTGTTTCTTTGTGTACCTGCTGAAGTCAGAAAGGTAGGTAGTGTGGGGAATTGAAATTGAGCCTGAATATCCAGAGTCTAGATAGAGGCTGCCAGAGTCAGTGATCATGTAATCTCAGAGACATCCTAAGTCAAGCTCCATGTAGATGTACATCATGTCTATTGCATAGAACCCAGGAACTGCAAAAGTGGATCATATCTTTATTTTAATTTTGATCCTTTTCCTTTTTATTGAGATACTTGACATAAAGCCCTTACAGAAGTTTTCACATGTAAATACTTGTGCTAGTCAGGTTCATTAGTTTTTATAGTTTAGGTGAAATACAAGAAAGTTTGGAGATTGTTTAGGAGCTTCTGTGAGAGCTTCAATGAATTCCCACCTAGAAGCACTGTGTACATTTCCTCTGGACCTGTTCACTAATTGACTTTCCAATATCTAAGGAGACTTATGTTATCAGCCAGTGCACTACATAATTCCATTTGCTCTGTCTGCAGTGGGCTCGGGATGAGTTTGAAGGACTCTTCAAGAAGCCGGCAGAAATCGTCAACCATTACCTCATGTACGTCTAATTCACTCTGCCTATCAAACCAGGCATTATAGCACTTCCCTTGTTCCCTAACATACACACTCAGGCACTAGGGAGTTTTCTTTTTTCCTTATCATTAATGTTAATTGCAAAAAGGGGTTGCATCACAACCATATACACATACAATATTCTTTGATCAACTTCATTCCTCCCCATTGTACTCTCCTATCTCCTATTGCCTCCCTGCCTTTATTTTTTTAAATTAAATTTTATTATGAAGTTAATGTGGAGAGAGAGTTACAGTTACATAAGTTAAATAATGAGTACACTTCTTTTTGAACAATGTTTTCCCCTCCTTTATTTTCTCCCACTATTTCCCCTCCCAGCCACCTGTCCTCCAGATTGTAAAGTTCATTCCCAACATCATGTCGAGTGAGTTTCACTACTGAATTGGTTCACTTTTGTCCCACTATTTCTGTGGTTCCCCTTCCTGTCTCCAAATCAGATAAACTTATATAGTAGAAGACCAAGGATACAGAAATCAAAAACAGTAACAAAGGAAATCAAGGGGGGCGGAATACTGCAAACAGTACAATAACAAACATTCGGTACCCATTCTGTAATCACTAATACTTCTATACATATATACAGACACATCTACACACAACATATTTGTGTGTATATATCTGCATGTGTGTGTGTATGTTTGTATATTTGTATATAAACGTGAATATAAACAAATACCTTTACACATATATATGTATTTATTGATAAATGGTTGGTTTTGTGGTGTATTAATGTATGTATATACATGAATGCTATTTCACCCCTTCTTTTCTCTCCTTCTGCCTCCTAGTTCCCCTGTCACTTCCACCTGTACATTCAGGTCTCATTATTAGTAGTATAGTAATAGTAGTTACAGTGACAGCAGCAGTAGTATTATTTTAGGCTTTTTTCTTTTCATTCTTCTGTTCTTTTCATTCTTCTTTAGGTCCAGATAATACTACATTGTAAATATAGCCCATTTTCTTTGTTTATCAATGCTGCACATAGGGTAATAATAAAGTTTGTCTTTTGTGTACAGTAGTTTGCCAAACAGTAATTTGCATGGATCTCATGTATGGTAATTTGAGTTAGACTACAACTCATATGCCCATGAATTCTATGTCAGGTGGGGTAATATGGTAGTTCTAGGTTTTATGTTTGTGTGCGTATATCTGTGTGAACTTGTACTAGGGTTTTAACTCAAGGCCTGTTTTTATACTCAATGGCTGGCATTGTCTCTTCAAGTCAATCATTTTTCCTGGTGAATTGGAGTTAGAAACTTGCAGGTTTTTTCCCATGGGTATCTCACCTGTTGCATAAGCCATCATCACCTGTTCTGTTTTTAGTTTTATGAATAACGTTGATATTTATTTCCAGATGAACTGCACTAATTTACATGCCTACCAGTAGCATATGAGAGTTTGCTTTACTCCACATGATGGATACCATTATTTGTTTTGTTTGTTTACTGGATGCTAGCCATCTCACTGGGGAGACAGGAATTTCAGTGTCTTTTGAGTATGCATGTTTTATGGTTAGGGATGTGGACTACATCTTCATGTGTGTATTGGCTGTTTGTACATCTTTTGAGTTTTGTGTGTTTGCTGTATCCTTCAATTTCCTTTGTTCTTTGTTTTGAGTTTTGGTTTTGGTGATACCTTTGATAACCAACCCTCTGTTAATTAGTCAGGCACTCTACCACTTGACCCATGCTCCCAAGTCCTCTTTATGTTCTAATTATTGTTTTGATTTCTGAGACAAATTAATCTTTATATTCTATGATATAGTTGGGGTGACAGGCATGTGCCACTACCACCCTGAGAATGGATATGGGCTTTTGTTAATTTTGTGAGCTAATAGCTGACAGAAGTTTATTCTGCCTACTCTGATGATTTTCTCTTCTTTTTAGTAACACTTTCCCTTGTTCTGTTGAAGGCTTTCACCGTAATGCCCTCCCAAAAGTTACTTCTTGCTCTTTATTTCATGGGGTATTGAATTCTTATTTGGAAAGAGCTTCACCTTTACCTGTATTTATTAGTGTTTTCTCCCATAATTTACATTGAGGCCTTGGATCCATTTTCAGTTAGCATTTGTACAAGGTGACAAGTAGGGTTTTAATTTTCAGTCTTCTGTAACTCAGTTTTCTTTTGTTACTGACATTGTTTTTCCTGTCTGATGTGTTTTGACTCTCATTAAAAATCAGATGGCTATAAAATTTGGGACCAGTGTTCCGCTGGTCTGTATGTGTGTTTGTTCTTGTGACAGTGCCAGACAAAAATACTTCATTACTCCTGCTCTGGAGTAAAATTTGGGGCCAGTTTTTGTGTGTATGTATTTTTTTTATATACATCCAGGATTGTAGTCTTCCATCAGCATTTCTTCTACTATTGGGTCCTTTCCTGTGTCCATAGCATTTTCCTATTTTTGTGAAAAATAACGTTAGGATTCTGGTTGGAATTTCTTAAATTCTGCCAATCGATGAACATAACAGGTCTTTACTATCTTCCTGTGACTTCAGTTCCTTTCTTTTTGGTGTTTTTCAGTTTTTCTTTTGAATGCTTTTTTTTTGGGGGGGCCTGGTTGTGGGGCCTGAACTCTGGGCCTGGGCGTTGTCCCTCCACTCTTCAGCTCAAGGCTAGCGCTCTACCATTGAGCTGCAGTGCCACTTCCGGCTTTTTTCTTTTTGCTTATGAGGTGCTGGGGAATCGAACCCAGGGCTTCAGGCATGCAAGGCAAGCGCTCTACCACTGAGCCACCTTCCCAGCCCAGTCATTAATTTTATTCCAACATCATTTCACAGCTTCTTCTGAGTTTCTTCAGGGTCTGTATCATAGTGCTTCACATTCTTAGAAGTTTTAACATCGATGCATCCAATGATAAAGACACATTGCTTAAGTCACCATTTTGATGACTGAAAAGAAACCATGCTGCAACCTCACTATATGGCAATTTTCTGGTTTTAAATTCTTTTAGATTAGAATTGATGGTGAAGAACGAACATTCTGCATACAATTTTATATTTTCCTAATTATTTTTAGTATACTTCCCAATATTGTATAAAGTTAAAACATTGAATGCTTTTAACCTCCTAGTCAAGTTGATTCCTGATGTCTGTTTCTTTTCTCTGAGCCTGTTGTAAGAACTGTTGTCCTGATTTCTTTCTTGGCCTAATTTGTACATATAATCATTTCTGACTTTTGTATGTTAATTTTGTGTGCTACAACTATGCTGAAAGTATTGATGAGATGTAGTTTTGTTTTGATGGCTGCTATAGAACTACTAATATGTAGTATCAGACAATCTGACCATAGGGATGACTTGACTTCTTCCGTTTCTATTGCCTTACTGCACTGGTTAAGGCTTCAAGCTAATTACTGGAAGAGTGGAGGGCATATATACCTAGGCCTATTCTTCCATTTAAAGGAATTGGTTTCAATGGCTTCTTGTGAAGAATGTAGTTGGCTGTATGTTTATCAGATAGTGATATGCAGCTATGTATCTTCTGCTACTACTTTCCTACAAAGCTTATTGTGAAATAGTGTTAAATATTTTGAAGGTTTTTTTTCTTGTTTTGTTTGGAAAAGGGCTTAAGTGCTTTTCCTGAGCTCTTTTGCTCAAGACTACCACTCTACCTCTTGGAGCCACAATCCCATTTCCAGTTTGTATGTAGTAGATTGTAGATAAGAGTCTGATGGTATTTCTCTGCCCTTGTCCAACCTCAGTCCTCATATCTTAGCTTTTTGTGCCCATCCTGTAAAGGCTTTTTGTCTGGAAGGACTTGATATGATCATTTGATTTTCCTCTTCTGTTTATTTGTTGTTTTATGTGTATTTGTGAATTATGAATTAAGTAATGTATTATGTTGATTTGTGAATGAGAACCATCCTTGCATCCCCAGAGTGATGTCCCAAATAGGTCTTGGTTTCTGGTTGTCTCAATTTGTTTCTATTGCAAATATTTTATTGGGAATACTCTTATGGCTGTTTTTGTCAGGACCCTACTATGTAAGTTTGTGTGTAAGTTTGTTGTATTCTTGTCTGGTTTTGATATCAAGAAAATACTAGCTTCATCTAGTCAGTTTGCTAGCTTTCCTTCTTTTTGTACCTCATGGAATAGTTAGAGGAACATTGGCATTAAAGAATTGACTTTATTAGACAGATTTTCTGAATGAATTAATTAAAGTCTTCGTCTCATTTCATGGGACTCAAGAGTGGATTCTTTGGAAAAGTTTTCTTCCACAAAGAACTACTGGATCTGTCAAGTAATACTTTATTTGCTTTCTTTCTCAAATTCCTAATAGAGATCCCAAGTTTGTGGAGCAAACACTACGTCTGGCAGGGAACCAGCCTTTGGAAGTATTGGAGGTTGTGCAGCGTAGCTTGGTGCTACAGCTGCCCCATAGCTGGTGTGACTGTGTAACATGGGCTTACCACCATTGGCATACCCAGTACTCTGACAACATCCAGCAGTTGCTGTACAACTTCCCTCCTAACCAGGTACTGCCTGTTTCTTGGGTCTCTGTGACAACCATTTCTGGATAACAGAAGTTTAACCTAGATTTTCAGTATAGCTTATTCCAGGCTATCGTATTACACCCTTCCCAAGTCACTGACTGTTTATGCCAGTGCTTTCTGCAAACATTCAGTTTTGTCCTGTTTGCTCAAATACAGGCTTGCCTGCCTTGTCACTCAAATAGGGGTTAATCTTCCATTTACTAGTGCATATTTAGGGGAACTGGATCATACCTAATTAATACTGAGAACTGTACATGTTAATGGTGAGACATTTTGGAGTTACACAGAATAGATAGGTTTGTAGACTCAAGTCTCAGCAAGCCTAAGGGAATGCACACATTTTCTCTCTCTACCAACATATCCAGATATGTCTCATGATGACTGTTTATCGCATAGGAGACTTGTGAAGATTAATTTTCATTGTTAATATTAACATATTTACAAGTTTGTTAACAAAGTGTGTATCTGAACCAATATAAATTGCGTAAAAATTGAGTTTGGACTTCAAGGACCAAAATTAGAATTCCTAGTCTTTCATTGTATATCCTATATGAAACAAAACCCAGCAACAGCAAAAACATTACAACTTTCTTTTCTCATAGCTTTCAAGCTCAGGAGTGTTGTTCTGGTCTGGGCCCAAACGCTGCCCTCATCCACTCATCTTTGATGTGAACAACGTAAGTCTTCTCAGAGGGTTCACAAGCATCTACTGGCAGTTGGATGGGTGAGAAGTTGGCAGAGACTGTTTACCCTAGTCTCATGTAGTCTCTCTTTTATGCTTTCCTTTTTCCCCAGGCCCTGCATCTGGACTATGTGATGGCTGCTGCCAATCTGTTTGCCCAGACGTATGGACTGACAGGGTCTCAGGATCGCACTGCTGTAGCAAGCTTCCTACAATCCCTTCAGGTCCCCAAGTTTACTCCCAAGTCTGGCATCAAGATTCATGTTTCTGACCAGGAGCTACAGAATGCCAGTGCTTCTATTGGTGAGAGTATTTAGACTTGGGTCAACAAGTCGCTGCCTGTTCCCTGCTTATCTGTGTATGCCTCCTCAGTAACCTCTGCCATTGGTGGTGCAGTGTGACCCTGTGGCCAAGATTTACTCATACACCTTTCTCATGCACCTCCATCTTCTATATATTGTGGGGATACATAAAGTATTTAAAACAAGGATTGAAGTTGGATGAGGCAAATTCACTATTTGCTTCCTCTGCAAGATTTCAGAACTGTAATGCCACCATTCATTTTTGAGTTGGATGCTGACTCAAACCTAGAATTCTACAGCCTTAGAGTCCCAAGTTCTGGAATTAAAGTTATGAATATACCCATTTAGCATATTCTTTCCTTTTCATATGTGCATTTGTCTCCTACTTAGTTTGTCCTTGATTTTTTTTTCTGAAAAGGAAAGGAACATGTTTTCTAACTGTTTTTCCTCCCTTGATTCTTTACATGATATATGTCCTTAGAGATGATTCCTGCCTTCCAGGCTGCATATCTACTTCAAATTTGACTCTGTATACTATGTACCTGGTAATAACCTCTTATTTCAGTGTTCAGCTCTTTATCCCTCTTTCTGAATCATTATGTATCATGCTATCTCTTCCTTTTCTTCTTATCTTTATCTCTTGTGCTTATCTCTGACTTTCATACTTTCCCCATTTCCTTTTACAAGTATTTTGTCTTCTGATATTTCTTCCTGTGCTTCTATAATACATGTATTTTTCAGCTGTGTCCTTGTCTATATATTTTGTTGAGTAAACAAATGATCATTCATTCCCTTAGCTCTACTGTTCTCTCTGTTCTACCTCTCTGTCTCTTCAGAATGTTCCCCATTATTCCATGCCAAAATTTTACATACATTTTCTGTGAATTTCCTTGAAGTTCTCTTCCTATTTGCCCTATTACATCTCATTTCTGTCTTAAGCTCCCATGTCTTGTTTTTTTGGTACACTTTTTATTGTAAAAAATTCTGTACAAAGGGGATACAATTACATGAGCAAGAAAATAAGTAAATTTCTTATTGTTCTCTTTGTTTTCACCTACGATGTCTTGTTTCATTCTAATCTTCTCCTTCAGGGTCGCCATCATGTTATTTTTTCCTTTGCATGCTTTCTGATACTTATTCTGTATTCTAAATGCAGTCAAAACACCTACAGGATTTAAATCTTAACTCTAAGGGTTTGTATTCACCAGTGTTAACATTTTCTGTGCAACATGTCTCTGACTTTTTATCATCTTACAGAATTGAAAGTGTATGTCCATTAAACAGTTTATGCCATCTTTCCCTTCTCACAGACCCTAGCAACTTGCTTCTGTTTTCTGTTTCTCTCAATTCCATTAAAATGGAAATTTTATGTCATGTAAGTGAAATCATATATGTAAGTGAAATCATGAAATAAGAAATTGCTTATTTCACGAAGGAAAGTAGTCTCAGATTCCAAGATACATACTCCCTACTGACATTGTCAATGTCATTCTTTACGTAAGAAGTTCCTTTCCCAGTAAGGCTGAATAGTCTTCTTTTTAATGTGTTAAAATTTCCATGGTTCTCTCCTTTTGGCCCTTACAAAATAACATTTACATAGTTCTATCATTTCTGGTCCTTTGAACCTCCAGAGTTAGCATCTGTTTGTGTTTCTGACAACTCAATTACTTCTTGCCGTACTATGGTTGGGTTGTTTTCTTTTTCTCTTCTCCTTTATTATTTTCAAGAATTTCTGTCTTTTTCAAGCTTTTTACCTGCTTGAATACTTATACTGTGAACTTTCGCTTCTACCTCAGACATTTGCTTGGTTTTGACAGGGCTGATGGTATTCATCTTCCATTCCACTCCACAGATGATGTCCAACTAGAAAAAATCATTGCGACCCTTCCAAGTCCAGTTATGCTCCCTGGATTCAAGATGTACCCTATTGACTTTGAAAAGGTGCTGGACAGGGGTCTTGGAATGCACAGGAGGGTTGTTCACTGCTGGGCTTGTTTCAAGATTATTAGCCTCTTGGGGTAGCTCAGTTGTTCCATGTGTTTCCACATAATTGGGTCTAGAAGTTATTTGTCTTCCCAAATGGCTACAGAAGTCTTTTTCTCATCTGATTCTCCGACTGCCAACAGGATGATGACAGTAACTTCCATATGGATTTCATTTTGGCTGCATCCAACCTCCGGGCAGAGAACTATGATATTTCCCCTGCAGACCGGCATAAGGTGAAGGCTTAAATTAAGATCCCCTCCTGCCAAACTTGGGTTTCTTACATTTCTTGCCTCCCATTGAACCTGCTCTCTCTGAACCATGATATCTTCTGGGCCTGTTATAACAGAGCAAGCTGATTGCAGGGAAGATCATCCCTGCCATTGCGACCACCACAGCAGCTATAGTTGGCCTTGTGTGTCTGGAGTTGTACAAGGTGGTCCAGGGACACCAGCAGCTTGAGTCATATAAAAACAGTTTCATCAACTTGGCCCTGCCCTTCTTCAGCTTCTCTGCACCCCTTCCTCCACCACATCACCAGGTAGGGGTGCTGTCTGGCTAGAAATTTTCCATGTTACCTCTCATTCTATAAGTCTATTAGTGGTTCAGAGAGACAAAAAGAGAAAAGTAAAAGACAAAAAGAAAAAGGGATGGGTCTGGGAAGGTGGCTCAGTGGTAGAGCGCTTGCCTTGCATGCCAAAGGCCCTGGGTTTGATTCCTCAGCACCACATAAGCAAAATGAAAAAAAGCTGGAAGTGGCGCTGTGGCTCAAGTGGTAGAGTGCTAGCCTTGAGCTGAAGAGCTGAGGGACAGCACCCAGGCCCAGAGTTCAGGCCCCAGGACCGGACCCCCCAAAAAAAAAAAAAAGAAAAAGGGAAATGACTTCAGTTAACCAGTTCTAGGTCTCAGAATAGGATCATAAAACATGGTACCTACAAAACATGGTATGTATATACTCAAACATGTATAGCCTACTTCATTATCATTCTGTGCCATAGATATGCTTATGGAAAATAAGTCTCTTGACTACTGCATTTGCAAAAGAAGGAATGTCATTGTAGTTGGGGAAAACTGTGAAATATAGTGGATATGGTCTGTGAGTGAAAGAGATCACAGGAACTCCAATATTATACCTTGCTGGTCATTATACAAATTTCTGTTTGGATTTGGTTGCAATAAGATGTGGGGAACAATAAGGTTTTGGAGATGTGATGTGAGAGCCATTTCAGGTTATGCTTAGTCATATCTGTTTGTCCCTCAGTATTATGAGCATGAGTGGACTTTGTGGGATCGCTTTGAGGTACAAGGCATGCAGCCTGATGGTGAAGAGATGACCCTGAAGCAATTCCTAGAGTATTTTAAGGTAAGGCTCTATTCACCTTTACTTACCACTAACTCTGGGCTAATACTTGTGTACTGTCCCAGCTCACTGAAACCACTGTTCCCTTTCTTCCTCTTCTCTCCAGAGGGAGCACAGATTAGAGATCACCATGCTATCTCAGGGTGTGTCTATGCTCTATTCCATGTTTATGCCAGCCACCAAGCTTAAGGAAAGATTGAATCAGCGGTGAGTTCTGGGCAGGGAGGAGGAGGCTTTGTATGATACTTTAAACTCTCTGCAGTACCACTCAAAGTTCATTATCTTCACTGTTCCATCTGAATTTCCCCTTTTGATTTCTGCTTCCTGACACTCTGCTGTTTGATTTAGAATGACTGAGATTGTGAGCTGTGTTTCAAAGCAAAGCCTAGGCCATCACGTACGGACCCTGGTACTTGAACTATGTTGCAACAACCAAAGTGGAGAGGACATCGAAGTCCCTTATGTACGATACATCATACGCTGATACACCTTGAACCCTATCAGTCTATTTCCAAGTCCCTCCTACATGTGATTCCAGCCAAGCCCATGTGTCTTCTTTCTAAGAGCTCTGTACAATGTAGTTTTCTGTTTGTTTAGAATTGGAATACATAATAAAGAGTTTGCCTACCTGTGGTGTGTCCTTTTTCTGCTAAGTGAGAGTCTTGCCCTTCATAGGAGGGCATATTTGCAATACTTAGTACAACTAAGATAGGTTAATAGTTGACGTCAAAGTTCTGATCCCACATAAATGGCATGGACATTGTCCCAAATCCAAGACAAAGAAGAGTAAATGTGCCTGTACCTACAAATGTGGGATACAATGACAGCTCTTTTTGCACATTTTGTCAAGAAATCTATATTATAAGATCATTGAGCATTCCCAACCTCAATCCATTTGACCCATTGGCTTTTCTACTTCCAGCTTCAACCATGATGATGACAGGGGACAAGTAGAGATTCTATACTTTGCTTACCTGAATTTGAGTTAATTTCCTTGTAGAGACAAGACAGTGGATTTGTTATATTCTTTTTTAAACTCCCACATGAATAAGTAGGGAAGGAATGTAAGGTCTCAGAGAAAGGATAATGAGTATATCTGTGAAAATCTTACTTAGCAATTGATACATAGTATATGTTTGCAAATACATTTGCTATTAATATATAGTCTCTCCATATCTCCCTATCTATGCAGGCTAGCCAACCTCACGACATTTTGTCCATGGAACTTGGACAGAGTTTCTATATATAGGACTTTAACTCTTCAATAGACTGAGAGGTATCACTGTCCACATATATAATGGTAAGCATACATTTTTTCAGGTCCTGTCAAGTTCCAATCACCTCCTTCAACCGTATTCTTCCCTCTTGTTAAAGAATAGCCATACCTCCTACTTGGAGAGCAGCAGCCTAAGGAAGGTCATAAGGAGTACCATAGCATTCAGCAAGACAATATAAAGCCTTGATTTAAAACATGTTTTGAAGTGTATCAGTAATAGGAGATTAAATTTTCTTTACATCTCAAACAGATAGAATATTTAAAGGGAAAAGCAACCTAAATTTGGTTTTCAGACATTAGGAAGGTTTCTAGAAGAAACATTGGAAAATTGAGAACCGCCTGTGTGTATCTCACTGTGTCAAAATTTTTACAAGCCTTGGGCTTGTAATTAGGCTATTGCACTGTCTCTGAGCTTTTCTGGCATATAATTGGAGATGAATCATAATGACTTAACTGCCCAACTTTCTTTGAACCATGATCCTTAGAGGTCAAGCTCTTGTATAGCTGATATTACAGGCATGAGACACTGGTACCCAGCTGAATTTTAAGACTGTGGCAGAACAAGGTAACCTAAATGGAGCCCTTGGAGAAATACAACTATGAATCTGGAAGACATCTAGAATTCACAGCACAAGGCATTGGAGAAGGAGCCCTGGGAATGAGAAGTCTGAAGACAATGCATCCAGTCTAGCTGAGGTCTGATCAGTACATTTACATGTGAACTAACTGCATCAGGTTACAGGATAGATTCTATAGGGTCCATCTCTGACACAAAGGTCTGGGAATACTTTTGTCTATTGACAAGTGTGGAAACCTCCAAATTGTAAGCATGGCATGAAGTAATTGAAAAAATATTTCATTGTACCTGTCCTGTTGGTGATTCCCCTGCAAAATCCTGAAGGTATGAAGGGCAGTTCTAAGGATTAAATTTCATCTCACAGCTCCTATGTTGGCAGGCTACATAAGTTTTAGAGGATGTATCTTTTATACATTTAAACAATATACATTTAAACAATAAACAAACCTATAGGAGCAAGAAACTTCTCTAAGCATATCATTAAGTTCTTGACAAATGTCCAACAAATCTCTGCCTCTAGCCTTGGTGCCCAGAATATCTAATCCTGGTATGTTCAATATCTGTTAAAGCAAATTTACAAATTCTGACTTCAGCAATCCCTGAGAATTGAACACAAGGTGCTTTGAGACCAAAAGCAAGATGGTTCCAGGGTTGCACACAATTCAATTTATGTGGAAATAAATGTATTTCACACAATATATCTATAGCACAATAGATGGCTCCCTGCATCTAAGATAAGATGGGTTTATATGCCAATATAGGCAAATGAGGGCCATAATCAACCACTATGTCCCCATCATTTCTCACTACCTGTGAGTGGCTGGCACTCCAATCTTGGGAATCTAAACAACAACTTATAATTCTTGTAGCTTATGACAGGATCTCTTGGGGAACAAAATGGCTGCACTCATGTCAAGCTGTACTGCTTACATGATTAAAATGTATCAGGCATGCAGAAATCAAATGAGAATAGAAATTATAATGTAAAATGAAACTTTTTTAACCAAGAACCAGAAATGACAGAAGGCTTCTGGGCTTATATTAAAATTTGATCAAAGTTTACAGTTCTATATATTGAGATTATATTTTTGAACACACAGGCAATATAGTTTGAAGACTCCTCAGGAATTCAGGATGATGCTTTGAGTAAAAAGCATGATTTTTTTCTAGCCACCTAGAAAACATTTGCAGTGGCATAGCCTATTATATGATTGCTGAAAACTCACCACTAGGCTGTGTTTCACCAGGTATAATTAAATTACACACACATACACACACACAAAAGAAACTTTGGAGACAAAATCTTAGATTTTGATTGGCATATTACCAATCTTAGTTGTTAAAAACTCTAATTCCCAACTTTTGAGTTGTGTTTAAAATGGTTTCTAATTTTATGTCTGCCCTTAATTTTGTGAAAGTAATCCTTCCCATAAGAAAATGGAGTTCCTAAGACAAACTAAAGGAGATAAAGTGAAAATACAAGGCTTGCTGAAAAGTAGCATGTTCTTAGTATAAGTTGGATGGTTTTGCAGAAGAAATGAATTAATTCATTCAGTACTGAACTCTGCATAGCTTGATTATTACAGATAATCTTTTTTTCTGAGAATGGTACAATTCTGGATAACAAGGACCTAGTAGAGTTGGAATTTTTAAAGGGTACAAGTAACAGAAGACTTAGCTAGGAATCTGTAGTTTATTTCACTCCATTACATCTCTTCAATAAGTGGTAGCTATTCATTATCTTTCCCTCCCCTGATAGTTCTCGGTCTCTTTTTAGAATAAATTGAATGGCTTGCAAGAACAAGGATGGGCAAAGAACACTCTGTTCTCTTAATTATGAGAGATCTGGCTCAAGATTGCCTTTTTTGACTACAGAAAGACAAAGAGGTAGCAGTAATTCTCCCAATGTAAGCAACGTTAGTCACTTCTGGGAATTGGGAAATACTAATCTTTTTCTCCATTGTCTTTTATTTTTTACTTTCCATACTGAGGAACTGGACATTGAAGTCACAACTGTATATTTCAGAGAATTAGAAAACAATTTTTCATAGCACATGTAAAGAACTTGTATAAAAACTAAGAAGCCCTTAGTACTCAGTTTTACTGCAAGAAAAACATAATGGGCCAACAACTGAACACAAATAGGGAGATTATGGTTTGAGTGTTAGTACATTATTGGATTTAACTGTCCAATTTTCAACCAAAAATTCAAAGATTATGTGTTGAAAGAAAGGAGAATATCAAACAAAAAGGTATAGAACTTAATGGGAGCTTTCCCATTTAAATACCATTTAGGTATTTTCAAATTTATGATCTTTTAGAGGATTCATAGTGTTTTCTTTGATGTCATTTGTATGATATTTAGGATGTTTACAGCTTTTCATTTTTATATGGAGTGTCTTCAGTGAGCAGCTTTCCTGAGTCTCCATCTACACTACGAAACAAGAAGAGAAGAGAAAGCACATCAAAGTTACAAAAAAAAATCACTAACATGACATTGGTCAAAAAACTTTCTATTCATTAAATGATTTTTAAAGTCACTAACCACCAGATACTAAAATTATTCCTTTTTAAGTAACATCTCTTTATGGAGAAAGGTAAGAAAGAGAGTAACTCACAGAACAATAGAGAGAAGAGCTTCCAGGACAAACTAGTATTTGAAAATCTGGTAAGTGTAGCATAATAACTAATATAGAGTAAGAAAAAGAAATGTGAAAGGTGAGGAAAGAGAAAGAAGTTAATTATAACAATAGAGAAGAAAGGACACCCATAATTTCTTTACTGACTTACATGACGTGTCACCTTTCTCTAAGCTACATTTTTGGTAGGTAACTGATAATGCTTTGGGCACATCACTCTTGCCTTTATCACTGTGATCTACTGGTATTGCTAAAAGAATGTCCTGTAGGATCTGTGTATGCAGGTCTGGCAATCCAGAAAATGTTGGAGTTGTATTCATGTTGCTGTATTGGAAACATACTATTGGATTATGAATGTGGTAAATGCCTGACAATTAGCTGCATTTCCACCAAAAGACCCTGGGAGTGTGGAAAGCAGTCCAGCCACAGAAAGTGATCTACAGATATAGTCAATGTGTGATCTCAACTATTGTGGCCATACCATCACTGTCTCAGCTGCCATTGAAATTCACATACAGAGAGTTCACTTTTGTTTCTTTCTCTCTTCCTTCCTTCCTTTCTTCATTTCTTTCTCTCTCCCTCCCTCCCCCACCCTCTCTCTCTCTCTCTGTCATGGAGCTTGAACTCTGGACTACTGTCCCTCAGCTCTTTAGTTCACTCTACCATTTGAGCCACAGTGCACTTCTGGTTTTCTGGTGGTTAATCAGAAATAAGGATCTCACAAATGTTCCTACTCTGGCTAGCTTTGAACCTTGATCCTCAAATCTCCTTCTGAGTAGCTAGGATTATTTTCATGAGCCACTGGTGCCTGGCAAGAGTTCACTTTTCTTACTAGAGATTGAGCACATCCCAAGGCAGAAGGGTCCTTCCCCATATCACCAGGTAGTCAGAAGTCCCCAGCTCTTCATCCTGGTCTTGAACCTTCATTGCTTCTTCCTGGTTTGATTGCTTGAACATGAAGACAGATGCAACTGTGCAACAGACCCAGAAAG